ATTTACGAAGATTTTAATAATCGGAAATTAGTAATACGGTTATACCCACGGTGCGTATGAATCTTTGTTTACAAAGTTATAGCAGCAGAGTCTGTAACTGTATCATTATTTATTAACTACACTGTTATTGTACTTAATATGATGAAAACTGCATATACAATATAAGATGTCAACTCGGCCAATACAGATTTTTTTTTCCATATTGGCCGAGTTCTGATCCGGCCAAAACAGGATTTCGGAACGTCTCTAGTTTTTAGATCGTAAGTCACGATAAACACAAACTGAAAGTAAACAGTTGTTTGTACGACACAGCTTTTATTTACTCACCATAAACAAGCTGAAACATTCAGTATGGCTTATATTTTAGGTAAAAGACGGTCCCATTCATTTGAAAAGCATTTTGAAAGTAGACGATGGAATTATTTCAGGTTTGGGGAACGAGTAAATTATCACAAAGTTCATTTCTTGACGACCTCATAATTTCATCATGTCGATGGTACAAATCGATTTTTACTGTTTACTTTCTCTTCTCATGTTTTGTAAACGGTCTTTTATTTTTAAACCCGAACCAGGCATATGCATTCTGTAATTGCGCAAATTTCGTTCTTTGGTCAATTGGCTTATGGATAGTTGTATCAATTTCAACTCTTACATTATTTTTTTTTTTTAAATATATTTGCATTACACATGCAATGGCAGTACCTTTCCAATTACTATTTATGTGTTGTGTCTAAATTAAAGTTGTAACACTTTACAGTGACTGGAAAGGGTAGAAAAATTCATCAGATGAGAAAAGGCTGAAGATACATGGAAACGGCACCAAATCATTAGACATTGCATCTTATAAAATGAAACTGAGATTTGGATATTTCCACTTCAAGGTAAAAATGTTTATCTCTTGTGAAATGAAAAAAAAAATATTGTAACACTGTAGTTAATTAATAAAGATACTATTTTATGTATTTCTGTATTGGCTTTATTGTTGGTCCTCGGCCAGCAGTATTGGCCTTCGGCTTCGCCTCAGACCAATACACCAAGACATGGACTAATAACAAGGACAATACAGAAATACTTACGCAATAATATTATAGAATGACAGTATGGTTCAATAGCGGGAATCAGCCCCTAAACGTCTTTTTACATAAATATTAACTTCTGGTTTCAACTCCTTGTTCGTCTTGTCTGGAGATCTTGTTGTAGTTCCAGTTAGGCAAGCATTTTAGAGACGTATTCCGTCCATCCTCTCTTGACTTGTAATTTCTGGTGATACATTTGACCTGAAAGGTGGTGTGGGAGTGCAAAATCAAAAACTAACTGACTATGATATATGGTTAAATAACGAATATCAATTACATGGGTCAACATGGTCAAGGGCAGAGTTGTTATGAAATAACAATATGGCAGAGAAGTGGTTTCAAGTTTCATATAAAGCGACCTGACTGACATGAAATAAAAAATCAAAGGAGTATCCCTATTTGTCTAATCTTCAAGGTGAAATAAAACTAGTAAAACAATATTATACTATTGTCTAAATCTACAGAAATATAATTTGTTTCAAGTATCAGAAATAACTAGGTCACTAGTAACTTATTTAAATGAGTATGTGGGGTATAAGAGCTTGATAACAACAGGCTCTTCATAATCATTTGGTTTGAAAAGGATACTAGTAGTCTATATTCTTGATTTAGAAAAATGTAATTGCAAGACAAAAATCACATTACTTAGAATACTTTAGATCATTCAGGTAGTCTTTATTTATATGTACAAAAGAACAGCCAGTAGTCATTGGATATTGTAGATCATTCAAATAGTCTTGACCTATTTATTAGTACAAAAGAACAGCCAGTAGTCATTGGATATTGTAGATCATTCTGGTAGTCTTGACCTATTTATTTATAGAAAAAAAACCAGCCAGTAGTCATTGGATACTGTAGATCATTCAGGTAGTCTTGACCTATACATTTGTACTAAAAAACAGCCAGTTGTCATCTTCACATAACACACACATATCATATACGAATATCAATTATATGCTTACGAGACATGTTGGAATGTTAAACTAATTACGGTATGTGAAAATCAAGACTTGCATAAAAAATATCACAATATTAGAGACAGTGGCGTCATTTTTCCTCAGAGCTTTCAGCTATTTGATTATCAAAGCCCATCAGTTAGAATAAGATAATAATTCCAATATGGATACAGAATGGAAAAGAAATTAAACTTCAAGAATTGTAAAAAAATATTCATTTTGATGATTTCAATTGTTTAATGGTTTTTGTTTGTAAAAACATATTCAGTTAGTTGATGTTTTTCTGTTGTTTCTTTGTAAAAACATATTCAGTTAGTTGATGTTCTCTTAATTTTTTGTCAAACATATTCAGTTAGTTGATGTTTTTCTCTTAATTTTTGTTAACACATATTCAGTTAGTTGATGTGTTTTAGTTAATTTTTTGTTAACACATATTCAGTAAGTTGATGTTTTTCTGTTGCTTTTTTTGTAAAAGAAAATATATTCAATGTGATCATTTGTTTGGTCGTTTATCTACAAATTATGATACATCATTACAGTCTTTATTGTCTAATGCATTAACGTTTTATTCCTCCTATTCCTACATTTTAAAATCTGGTATGACATCTGTAAAAATCTATGTAGGAATAGAAGGAATAGTTAAATAAACAAGGGATTAAATCAGATTAGGTTGTAAAAACATAAAGCTAATTAACTTCAGGTAAATATAAAAAAAATCAGTAATTATAAAGTCATTGTGATATTGGAGTAATTATACATGACTTAGTCATATCTATGGGTCGTAGGTATGATACATACCATGATCTGGGTATTGTGGATCATGTTACTTTGAGTGTTATGAAGAGTAGTTTAAATTTGGCTTTGCTTATTCAACCTTATACTTTTGTAGCATTGATCCCAGCATCAAGGCTGTCTATAATTAAGATAACAGTTCAAATTTTAGACTATATAATGTAATATGTAAAATTCAATTTGAATTTTTCATTTCTGTATTAAGCCTTTTCTTCCTCATTCCTTTTCATATTTGAAATATTCGAATTTTCCTATTATGTAAATTCAAAGTACATTTCTATATTTAATTTTCTATTTTATTCTCTGCAATGCATCCATGTTTTTATATTTATTATAATAATTCTTAATAAATAAGTAAAAAGTGTGTATTGTTGCACTTATTTATCTGAACATCAATTAAATCTTAATAGCAAAAACAACAAATTACCTTACAACAACAGCTATTGTACTTTGTTTGTAGGAATAGAAGGAATATGTATTTTTAAAATGTATGAATAGCAGGAGGACACCACATTTACACCTATACTTTATACCTATATGTTTTAATCCGTTAAACAGAGTAATCCATATACTATGTGTATATATCAATGGATATTTTTCTTATAAAAGAAGTCACCTTGAAAATTTGTTATATGAGTTTGGAAGAACACGATTTATTTATAAGATGTAATTGGCTCTGAAATAGCTTTAAATAACTGCGAGTACTTTTAGATTGGTACTTTGTGTCGTTTGTCTTTTTGTTAGTTTTTTGTTTTTGTTTTTTGTTTTGGTTCTATGTGTCGATCTGATGAACCAAGCCTTTTTCAACTGATTTTTATTGTTTGTTCTTATGTTGTAATGTTACACCATGGTTCCAGGTTAGGGGAGGATTGAGCGCTCACAAATCCCGCCATATATATATATATATGTAGGACTCAAATCTTTGGTGGGTTCCAGGAGTCGGTTTCACAAAAAACGTACGACTAAGATTGATCGTAAATATACTGAATTGTTCATGACTTACTATCAATCTTAGTCGTAAGTTTTTTTTGTGAAACCGACTCCTGATCTACGGCAGATTTGAAATTTAAGGCAAATATGACGTCATAAACGCCGTACAAATCATAAATCTATGGCAGTTTTTTGTTTTCTCCAAATCTATGGCAACTTTTTGTTTTCTCCAAATCTATGGCAGTTTTATGTTTTCTCCAAATCTATGGCAGTTTTTTGTTATCGCCAAATCTATGGCAGATTTTGAAATTCCGTAATTGTCCATAGAAAAGAGAAAACTATAGCGTCACAATTAATTAACGTCATATTACGGGCTCACAGAGTTTTATAAACAAATACACAGGGAAACACTTTCCGCTTTCCCTCTTGGCGGTTTACAGGAAGATGTGGCCTCCAGAGGAGGGACAATGTATGCTCCACCGTCATAATCCCGCGATAAATAAAGGCACCGCTGTTTTTAGAAACGAATATTTCAGGAAAGGAGTTATAGTTAATATTATAGCATCTACGGCTGGCAAAGTATATAAAGTGAGGGATGAAATCACAGGATACCATTTTGATTTTAAATCGTTAAAAAAGATTTATTAACGCCCAACTAAACATTTTATAAAAAGGCAAATTGTTAAATTCTTTTTATTCAAACTGCATTGTGGTTTGTTAACGGACTTTCATTTTGACTAGTTGGTTAAATGACTGATTAAACAAGTACTATGTACAGTGTAGGGACTGCTTATCCTCCTGGTGCACATTATTTCGCTCCTAAAGTTTGTTTCAGTGTATATCACTTCCTCACTTAAAGGAAATATTATGGTCGCCATCACGATTTGGCTGACCATTATGGAACGAATGTCCATTTCACAAATGGTTATGAATATGCTCCCGTTGGATTAAAAAAAAATTTCATAGATTTAGGATGGCATGACGTCACATTTACAATAGATTGAGATTCTGCCATAGATCTGGAATCCGCCATGGATGTGAGTCCTACATATATATATGTGCCTGTCCCAGCTGGAGTCTGTAATTCAGTGATTTTCGTTGTTCGTTTTTATATTTATTTTTCGTTTATTATTTTGTCATAAATCCTCTACGGAGAGGTGTTTTGGCCAAACCTTTAGAAAATTTAGGTTCTCAATGCTCTTTAACTTCGTACTTTATTTGGCCTTTTTAACGTTTGAATCGAGCGTCACTGATGAGTCTTGTGTAGATGAAACGCGAGTCTGGCGTACACAATTTCAATCCTGGTATTTATGATGAGTTTATTTAAACAACTTTATCGAGCCCTATAGAAGAACACTGTCGTTTATGTATATGAAGTTAAATATGAAATAATATTGAAAGAAGAAATCGTAGTGGCATAGGAAATACCAAAGATATAAATAGAAAACATCAATTTCTCGTACTAACACATTTTACACAAAACTGAAAGCAAGGTAAGATTTCTATCCTTCAACTCTTATTTTTCACATTTTATACTAATTGTCAGTCACATAATAAATTCAAAGATGTCATATCTGTATGTGTGGTGTCCAAACGATGACAGATAGATACAAGCTTCACTAGAGTTCAGGATTCTTTATTGTTGTTATCTCATAAATAGCACATGTTTACCACAAACAGCTAGAACAAATGGAATAAACTTTTTAAAATTACGTACAATAGAGAATGGTTCTATTACTTTAATATTTATGTGAAGCAGCATGAACACAATAATTTTCGTAAACGGGAAAACGAAAGGACTTTGATAATGAAAAGCAAAATATTATGTATACATAATAAGTACAATTAGAAACTTGTCTCCAGGGTTCTATATGTTTATACTTTCTATTTTGTAATTCTATACACATTTGTAATTGCTATAGTTATATATATGTACGACACCGCCATATCCTTTAGTACAGCCTGGGAACAGTATATCTAACGTCAAGTCCCGTCAATATATATGTTCCTGGTACAGCGGACTGTGATCTAATTATAGAAAGAATCAAATGCAGAGGGAAATTCCAGAGATATTAATAGAAACGTTTATGTCCATACATAATAGCACGGAAAAATGTTTTACATTTCATTATAACAATGGTTTCCGTCTTTTTAACCTTTTTTTTATAAATACATATGTAGTAATCAATATCAATAACTAAATAGTATATGGCTAGATTTTATATGAAGTGGCTACAACTTTCGATAGACTTAGTATAAGGTTTTCAGAAAATGTTACTTCTCTGAAAACCCTTATAATGGTTTTCCGGATGCCGCGAACAGTTTTCATTTTAGAATATTCCAAAGAGTAACACTGTTCCGTAGGGAAGTTTCTCTAATTTATAAATTCCACATTTCATAGCACTGAATTGCTGAATAGAACATGTAACGATGGCATATTTGTATGTGTGGTATCCAAACGATGACAGCTGGGGACATGCTTCACTGTTATTAGAAATAAGTCAGGTGTATATCAGCTGGTGGCCAAAAGACGACAAGTCAAAATATAAAAAGAAGAAGAAGAAGGTAAATAATTTGTTCACAGTCGAGTTTTGCTATTTCTTTCTTTTTCTTTATTTTAATGGAGTAAACTTTTGTAAATCGGAGGGAACTTTAAATGCACAGGATTTTTTTTTAAAGATCAATGCTGGTAATAAAGAAAAAATGTGCATGACCGTGTTAAAATAGGATTATTAGATGCAGTTGACTAATATCATTTTCATCGGTATTCATTAGATTAATTCTTTGCCAATGAGACAACTATCAGAGATCAAATGACATAGATGTTATCAATTATAGTTCACCGTACGACCTTCAACAATAAGCAAACCCCATACCGCATATATAGCTGGCTATAAAAGTAACCGATATTACAAAATTGAAAACTATTCAAATGAGAAAATAAAGGATCTGATTTACGTACAAAACAACAAACGAAAAACAAGCATTATATACAACAACAGACGAAAAACAAATATGATATAACAACAAACGACAACCTTTGATATACAGGACAGGCTCCTGAATTGGGGACAGGTGTTAAACATGTTTGTGGGCGCCCATATTTCATTTCGTAAATATCAAATGCTATTGTCGACCGCTTCAGTCATATTAAAGACATTCTAAGGCTTTAATAAAAACGATACTTTAACCTGTGAGCCATAAATTATAGGATAACTTCCTAAATACGTTGAATTAATTCTTATTTGATTTTACTTCGACTGACTATGTTACCGAAACTACTTTCGTAGCCTTTGCACTGTGATATGTTCATGAGGAATATAGATGAATGGAATTCTGGGGTTCCGAGAAATTTTCAATTGAAAGAAAAAATTACATATGTTTTGTTTGAGAATTATAGGGATAAAAACCTTTCTAGAGGTTATTGGCGTGTTTACAAACTGGTCGCGGACTTATGATCACAAACTTAACATAAAAGTTTTCGACTATAAAGATCGCCATTGAAATAAGACTGAAAAAAGTAATAAAACAAAAATACTGAGCTTCAAGGGAAATTCAAAACGGAAAGTTCTTTATAAAATGGCAAAATCAAAAGCTCAAACACATAAAACGAACTGAACATTCAACAAAGGGATTATACTGATATGAATAAACAATATGTTTTCCCGTGTACATAAATTTCAATGAACTCGACCGAACCTCTAACAAACTGAATAAAACCAAAAAAGGTTTGAAATATAACCTTCATAAATCATATTTCGAATGAAGTGCGTCGAAATTATGCTCAGACCCTTAATATGATTAACAATAAGGAGACCACCCGTTGATGTTCTGGGGGAAAGGGATGGACAGGAGGAGTTTTAAAAATGAATAACGTGGCCTGGTTAGAACTTAACATAAAAGACAAGATGAAAATGAATATTCTGAAACACAGAATTCAGGAAACAATTATGTACAAAAGTGAAAATAAGTATTCAATCCGGAACCCCACCCCCGAATTTCAAATAGTCGTAAAACATGTTTAATTTTTGGTTGCCATAACGCTCACTACTGAATTAAGAAAAAACAGACAACATTAAGAGTTAATAATATGTATTTCCTTATAAGTAAAATGAAGGTAAGTTTGCCGGATTTTGATACTTTTTCCCGGTTGTCTGGACCCAGGGCAAACCGGTAGCTTGAAATATATAATACAGATACTAGTACTTTGAATTGTCTATCATTGAAGAATATCTGGTAACATGTAAATGTCTTTGTATTGGTTAAATTAGTTGTTGATTGTTGCTCTTTCATTGATCAAACTATCCAGTATTTTTTTTTGTATGATAGGTAGACGCTAAAGATGAATTGCCCGATAGTTATGAAGAGGACGTCGATTTGAATGGTAGAGAAGCAACTCACAAGTTTTATATCAACGAAAATAAAATCAATGCAAACGCTGTCGATGATTGGTGGAGACGAACAAAAGGGAGAGGTGGCTACCATATTTTTGGTCGCAATTGTTGTGATGTTGTTTACGCCGCATTGGAAGTTGGAGGCTGCTACGACTGGGTTCATCCGGGAATTAAAGTAGTTTCTACTCCGCGGCACATTAATCGCTATGGCCGAGACTTAGAGAATGCGAAGGAAAAAAGCTGGAATCCCTTTCGAGGTTTCATGGTCAGATGATGTGAAATATACTGTTTAAATTGATAGATTCCGTTTATGTTGAAGCTAGTAATTGCTGGTATGAGTTCTGTTATTTCTAAGCTTCATGTTTTATGCTAAAAAAAGTGAAGTAACAAAAATACCGAACTCCAAGGGAAATTCCAAACGGAAAGTCCTTTATAAAATGAAAAAAATTAAAGGCTCAAACACATCTAACGAATGGAAAACAACTGTCATATTACTGACTTGGTACAGACATTTCCTTATATAGAAAATGGTTCAGTAAACCTGGTTTTATAGCTATCTAAACCTCTCACTTGTGTGACAGTAGCCATAGACCTACCCAAGCCATTTTTGGAAATCTTTATTTTTTAAATGTTCAAAATTACAGTACAAAATTAATTTCTGTTACAAATGTGTGTGTTTAAAAAATATAATACTGCACTTACGGATGGTTATCATATTTTTGTGATTCATGGTGCTCAATCTGTACTTTTCCATGTAGTTTTTTTAACAAACTGTTCTTTATCTTCTCATGTTTTCTGTTCCTGTGATCCTGGAGTTGCTTGTATTTCGTAGAATTAAATTGTATTGCACCTTGGTGTCTTCTTAGGAATACTTGTTTGATACCCACAGACAGATAGTGACAGTCGCATGCTTTTATCAACAACCCGACCAAAGAGCAGAAAACAGCCACCGTCCACCAATGGGTCTTCAACACAACGAGAAAATCCCGCAACTGGAGGCGTGCTTCAGCTGGCCCCTAACCAAAAAAATGTGTACTAGATCAGTGATAATGGACGTCATACTAAACTCCAAAACATATAAATGAACTAAAATTATAAAAATAAACAAGACTAACAAAGGCCAGAGGCTCCTGACTTGGGACAGGCGCAAAATTGCGGCGGGGTTAAACATGTTTTGTGAGATCTCAACCCTCCCCTATACCTCTAGCCAATGTAGAAAAAACAAACACACACCAATACGCACAGTAAAACTCAGTTTAAAAGAAGTCCGAGTCTGATGTCAGAATAGGTAACAAAAGAAACTAAGCAAATTGACAATGATACATACATTAACAAAGGACTACTAGCAGTTACTGACATGCCAGCTCCAGACCTCAATTAAACTGATTGAAAGATTATGGCTTCATCATATGAAAATCAAGCACAATCCCGGCCGTTAGGGGTTTAGTATCATACCATCATAAAATATATGATAAGAACATAACCCGTATCATGCCAACAACTAGTTTTAGAATAAATGTGTTTATTTCCGATGCAAAGACCCTATGAGTGAATCAATATTAAAACCAAAATATGCCATCTTTAATGACCTGACAACAGTATCGTAATTATATCCCTTCTTAATAAGTCTGTTAAAAGGTTTGGTTATCTTTTGAGGTGAATGTCGACATTTTTGTGCTTTGTAAAGAATATGACCATAAAAGATTGGATGTGAAATACCTGAACGTATAAGATGTCTGCATGTTAATTTATATTTACGGAAGATGTCCTTGTACCGATGATAAAATTTAGTAAATGTTTTGACTAGTTTGTGATATCGAAAACCCTTGTATAATAATTTTTCAGTAATACATAGATTTCTTTCTTTAAAATCAAATACGTTGTTATATACACGAGCACATTGAACAAGTTGAGATATATAAACACCATAAGATGGTGACAACGGAACGTCACCATCTAAAAATGGATAATTAACAATAGGAAATGAAAATTCTCTCTTTTATCATAAATTTTGGTATTAAGCTTCCCGTAAGAGATATAGATATCAAGATCCAAAAAAGGGCCGTGTTCATTGTTAGTATTAGCTTTATTTAAAGTCAGTTCAGCAGGATAAATCTCTTTAGTGTACATACTGAAGTCGTCATTATTGAGAGCCAATATATCATCCAAATATCTAAAAGTGTTATTAAATTTTTGTATCAGATGTAGTTTCGATGGATCTTTAATGATTTTAGTCATAAATTGTAACTCATAACAATACAGAAACAGGTCCGCAATAAGTGGTGCACAGTAAGTCCCCATTGGAATTCCGATAACTTGACGATATACAGAATCTCCAAAGCGAACAAAAATGTTATCTAGTAAAAATTCGAGGGCAGTTATAGTATCAAAGCAGGTCCAATCGACATAGTTCTTTTGTTTGCTGTTACTTAAAAATGACCTAAAAGAGTTTGAACATATATATTCGCATTCTGACTTTTTAAATGCCCATTTAATTAGGTTTGTGAATTTTTTCTTAATAAGAATATGAGGCAATATGGTATATAGGGTAGAAAAATCAAAACTTTGAACAGTTTCAAAATCACCAATATAAGTATGCAATTTATCAAGTATTTCCAACGAATTTTGACACTCCAAAAGTAATTAATTCCACTATTTTCAAAGACCTTATTTGAACAATTTATTATCAGGGTTTTGATTGTACCAAGTGTAGTAGTAAGTAGAATAGACAGTTAAGTAGTGGAACAATGGCTTGAAGACGAAATAAATCTATATTTGTAAGGTGTTTTGTGCAGCTTCGGAAGCCAGTACATAGTTGGAACTTTCATTGTATTTGGTTCTGCTTGTAAAGAAGTACCTAAAATTTTTATGTTTGTTACAGATGTCATTTTCCGAAAATGGAATCAGTTGGAATGTTGGTGAATTCGTGATTTCCTTTTGCAGAACCTCAATGTAAAATTTACGTCAAACAATAATGATATTATTAGCAGCCTTATCAGCCGGGACAAAAACAAATTCCTTGGCGAGTTCTTTTAGCACAGTAAAATGATCTTTAAAATGTTGTATATGTATATCAACTATGTTCATTACTGAATAAAAAAAAGAGTCTAAGGATTTCTTGTCTGCTTTTTTTCGTTTTATCCATTTCGAGCAGTAAGTACGGAGTGAGTCGTGGATGATGTTACGACACTCATTCCAATTAATAATTGACGGGGGACGATATTTAAGCCCTTTACTGAGGAATGATTTCAACTCTCGGTCACGAACGATGTTGAGGTCTCCTGTTATAACATGGGAACTGGGGCCATAAATGCATTCGGAATTTTTGCAATTTCATGACGTAGGTGTATTGTCACTGATATTTACATCTTTACACACTTTGCAATTATTAAACACTTATTTCCGGGTAGATTTTTTGTAAACATAACAAATAAGAGGGAGTTCAGTATTATCATAATATCCAGGAATTTGTTCTTTAACAGAATGATCATTAAAAATACCCGGCAATATTAACAAAATCAAAACCTTTATTGACATATTTGATTTTAATAAAAATGTTTTTTATGATCTTCAGGGCGATCAATTTTGGGAAACAGTTTAGAATAACAATATGCAATTATAATTTGAACGATTTCATACTTAGGACTGCAATATGGAATTGTGTTGCAATCCTCTAAAATTTTATGTAATTTATTTACAGGTAAAGAACAGAACTTGGTTAACAGGTAATGTCTGCCGTTGTTTTTTGAAATAGAAATTAGGTCCGAAATATTTGTATTGTTGGTACGAAATTTTCTTTGATTGCGATTTATTCTATACGCCCATGATAACGGCATTTACGAACAGTTTTAGAAACTATATCCAAAATGTTAACAGAATCGGCACTAAAGACAAACTCTGTAAAAAATAAAATTGAGAATGGAAATTGGGAATGTGTCGAGGAGACAGCAACCCGACCAAAGAGCAGAAAACAGCTGAAGGCCACCAATGGGTCATCAACACAGCGAGAAAATCCCGCACCCGGAGGCGTGCTTCAGCTGGCCCCTAAACAAAAATCATCTTGAAAAAACGACCACCCGGCTACATGTTAAAATTTCATTATTGTCTATTGTCATATCTTAATGTTTTGTTTTGGGTTTTGTTTTGTCATTTTTGATATTTGATGTTAAAAGTAAAACTGTTTTATGGTCCTGGAGAGTTGTCTCATTGGCACTCATACCACATCTTCTTATATCTGTTAATTTCATTCACTCTTTTACACTCAATGCGATTGAAAGCTTTACATATTATATAAATACTTGTCTTTTGTTGAATACTGTATGTCCACCTCTAGATGTCAATTTTTTTTTTTCGTTTTTTGTGTGTGTCGGCAGGTTACTGTCTCATTGACGCATACCCATCAATTTATCTTTTGCCATGTTTATAGAATGTTCATTTTGACCCCAAACAGTCATTCTACTATGTAAAGGAAAACTCAAAGGTGTAAATTCTAGATAAAGGTACCTTTTGACTTCAAAATTGTTTTCTCTTCTTATTATATTTGTATCCAAACAAAAGAAGCAAAATGACAATGATACATACATTAACAAAGGACTACTAGCAGTTACTGACATGCCAGCTCCAGACCTCAATTAAACTGATTGAAAGATTATGGCTTCATCATATGAAAACTGTGATTTCAGAAACAAAAGATTCCAAATAATACTCAAATGCATTTTAGTTTGTCTTGAATTTTAGGTTTACATATTGCAATACAGTTCCCCATTACTGACATAATTTTTTTTTTCTATCGTATATAAGAGTGCAGAGATCTGTGTTGTTAAAAGTGGTGGCTACTGTACGGTCACATTTATATTTAAGTGTTAAAATTAAAAACGTTATGGCACTTCATAATTTTTTATTGACAATCAGTTAACTTTTAATAGATTTGGTGGACATTTGAAACTGTAAATTTATATCAAGTGTATGGGTTTTCACATAGGAACAGTGGTTAATAAGTTTTTAATATCGACTTTGTGAAATTTTATACAATCATAGCAACAAAATTGGGGTTGTACATTTGTATACTGTGATCAACGTGTCTATACGATTATTCCGTTTGTTTTAGAAGAACTACCGATTGAAATCTCTATCGGAAATAATTGCTAGATAATATAGATATTGACAAGAACACACAGCAGAATAATCATATGTTTTATTTTGTTACAATCATGCTTAGTTTTTGAAATTAAAGAAACTTCAATGGTTATTTTCTTCATTTAGTCTTTTTTTCGACAGAAAGAGTTTTGCTTGCTTATTTATTCTTTTCTCTTTATTACCAAATGTTGTTGTTTATTAAAGTACTTGTGTAAACCTTAAAAAATCTGTCTTGCATGATTATTGTTTGTTTTTGCTTTAATTACAATAACTCCCAATTCTGATACATTTATTTTGTGCTATTGGAATACATAATAAGGGCTTTGTGGTAATTCTTCAACCAAATAATTATTTCGATGTGGTAAATAAAACCAGGTTCAGATGAGGACACTCAACAATTTGATTTATAAAGAAAAACATCTGAAACAGATGGATCGGATCGGAATGAGAACAGATGAGTCCACATGAAAAGCATAATTGTGTTGTGTAAAATTTGTAAATTTTGTGCAAATTATAGTTTTTACAGTGAGAATTTGTGTACAAATTCATAGTATCTTGCGAACCTCTTGAAATAATTTAACACATTAATTTCGCTTATTATGGCTGTCATATTTGCATGATTACATGCTTATTAATTGAAAAAAAAACTCATCAAAGATATCAGACTTTTGATGCTTCCGATTTGTTTCATCGTCATAAGACTGGTCTGGTCAGTGGTT